CGTGTGTGTGTGTGTGTGTGTGTGTGTGTGTGTGTGTGTGTGTGTGTTGAATTTTTTTTGTTTTTTTTGTTTGGCATTTGTAGACTGTTAACCCTTGCTTCAGGGTCCAGGACTTTTAGTCTTAACACAAGTCAACTCCATGCTTCCAGATACTGAGTTGAACTATATTTGCCAGAGGAACATTTAGGTATGAGGGCGCAGACACTTTAGAACAGGGGTGGGCAAACTTTTTGGCCCAAGGGCCACATTTAGGTATAGAAATTGTATGGCGAGCAATAAATGCTCACAAAATTGGGGTTGGGGTGCAGAAGGGAGTGAGGGCTGTGGATGAGGCCAGAAATGGGGGGTGGGGCCAGAAATTAGTTCAGGGTGTGGGAGGGAGCTCCAGGTTGGGGCAGGTGGGATGGAGTGCGAGGCGCAGGTGAGAGCTCTGGGGTGGGGCTGAGAATGAAGGGTTTGAGATGTAGGAGGGTGCTCCGGGCTGGGACCGAGGGGTTTGGAGTGCGGGACAGGGGATCAGGGCTGGGGCAGGGGGTTAGGACATGGGGTGGGGGGATGAGGGCTACGGCTGAGGGTGCAGGCTCTGGGGTGGGGCTTGGGATGAGGCAGTTGGGGTGTAGGAGGGTGCTCCAGGCTAGGACCGAGGGGTTCAGAGGGTGGGAGGGGGATCAGGGCTGGGGCAGGGGGTTGGAACACAGGAGGGTGGCTCAGGGGTGTAGGAATCCGCTTACCTCAAGCAGCTTCCAGAAGCAGCTGCATGTCCCAGCTCCGGCTCCTCACAGAGGCACGGCCAGGCAGCTCTGCTTCGCGCCATCCCATCCACAGGCGCCACCCCTGCAGCTCCCATTGGCCACAGTTCCCGGCCAATGGGAGCTGCGGGGGCAGCGTGCAGAGCAGAGCCCACTGGCTGCCCCTATACGTAGGAGCCGGAGGGGGGACATACCGCGGCTTCCAGGAGCCGCGTGGAGCAGCCACCGACATTGCTCCCCAGCTGGAGTGCCAGAGCGGGGCAAGTCCCAGACCCTGCTCCCCAGCGGGAACTCGAGGGCCAGATTAAAACAGCTGATGGGCCGGATCCTGCCTGCGGGCCATAGTTTGCCCACCCCTGCTTTAGAACCTATGAGATTCCTATACACAACCCCCTTATTCTTATGGCCCATGTGAACCTGGGCCTAATGCCCCGTCTCTTTGCATTCCTTCAGAGAAGTATACATGTAGGAATCGAGATGCATAGTCAGCAAAGTGCCCCAGATCAACTCACAAGGGTAGCGATGGCTGCTCTTCAAGAGGATCCTTTGGATTAGAAATGGGTGAATCATTGGGAAGTTATTTTCAGTAAAGGATTAGAAGCTCCTTCCTCCATCTCTCGCTCTCCTGACCTAGATGACACTAGAATCAGCTTCTGTCTTACCTCTTGAGGAATACAAGTTATTTAAGGTTTATTGGATAGACAGGTGAAAGAACTATATTTGCCTGTTTACACTATGGAGGAGAAATCCCACAAATAGTTATACAATCCAGACAAAAGACTCTAAGATAGCTTTTTCTGTCAGAGGGACTTCTGGAACTACGTGAGATCTGTGGCTCTCTGCTTCATCCATGCCACCAGTATCCAAGAAGAATGATAAACTCTATCAGGTGCCCCAGGCAGGACAAAAGTACTTCTACCAGAACCAGATACTGGGTTCACTTGTGGTCTCTGCTGCCCTGGAAAAGAGTAAGTTGGTGCAGTAATTATAATCTTTCCTTGGGGACAAGGAGACAAAAAGATGGATCACTAACTCTCAGAATACCTAATTATCTGGCCAGTAGGCTTGTAAGAACTTTTTTTTACTTGGGTTAAGTAATCTTCTCTTGTAGATCATATTCCAGAAGACCTACATTCTGAAATCAAATCTCTTGTCCAAGAAAGATTGAGCATCTCTGAACACTTTCAGGTTACCATATGACTCCTCTGATACAGCAGAGTGATCTGTGGCAATAACTGTTGGCCAGCACACATGACATCACACTTAGTCTTTCTCAAGATTCTCAGTTTTGAATAATTATTTATTCACTTGAGAACTCACTTATTTAATCAAAAGACAGGTAGGTGAGACTGTCCCACATTGTTCAACCTTATAAAGAACCTTGGAAAGGTAATGTTTATCAATGAGAAGAATCAATATGCTAATATACAATTGTGTATATAATTATTCCTTGGACCCTGCAAATTTGGCCTCTGCCCTAGATGAATACTCAGATGATTAACTATGTCTGCAGTCTCAGCCTTCTCTCCCACCCCCAGGAATAATTACTGTCTTACAGGTAGGTAGAGGTCATTGTGAGAATATTTTTACTTCCTTTTATCCCTGTTTTTGAGATGACTCTTTGGGAGTGTTCCTTTCAACTATGTCTTTCTCATGGAAAACTAAGGTCAGGTCTGGACTAGCACTTCTGACAGCAAAACTTTTGTCACTCAGGGGTGTGAAAAAACACCCCCACCCCCCGAGTGACACAAAGTTTTGCCAGTGTAAGCACTCGTGTGCACAGCACTATGTCAGTGAGAGAGAAGGCTGTCTAACAGCACAGAGGGTGTGTAGGATTGTATAAGGATACCTGGGGTCAGATATCTGCATAAAAGTTCACCAAAGGGTAGCATGTGAGGTCTCTACCGAGAGCCAGTTATCCACTGGTTGTCATAATCCATTGTGAAATGTATGTACATATAATATTTAAGAACTTATGTATCTATACTGAAAATTATGCTCTTAAGGTCTTGAACTTAAGGCAGGTCACCAGGAGATGATGTACCATGGAGATGTGCCTTTCAGGAAGGAGGCAACATATACCTGTCTCCCTGTCTGGCCTAGGATGACCAGGTGTCCCGATTTTGATAGAGACAATCCCGATTTTGGGGTCTTTTTCTTATATAGGCTCCTATTACCCCCTACCCTCTGTCCCGATTTTTCACACTTGCTGTCTGGTCACCCTGGTCTGGCCATTTGTGTATTGTATCCCTTATGCTGCATGCTTATTTGCATACTGAGCCGGGTGCGAATTGAGAGATTGGGAAAATCTACAAGAGAGGAAAACTGCAAGAAGAAACTAACAGCAGGGGGGTGTCCTCTTTATGAATAAAGACAAAGGATTGGTCTGGTATATTTTGGAGTACAGAGACACCCTGAAAATCCTTCATCTAGGACGCAAACTGACAGCATGTGTGTCCCATGAAAAAAGGGTCACAGCCAACCTAGCTGTAAAGCACTGCAAGGATTTTGGGTGAGCAATACTCTACTAGACATGAGAGTATCTTTGTTAATTAAGTCTGGCTCTAGATTGCGTGCTATGATTTTATTTAATATGTAACCTCTGGTTTACAATATTTCTACTTGTTACGATTTGAATCACTATGCTTTGTTAAATAAACTTGTATTTGATTTCACTGTAAACAAACCTAAACATTGCGAGTTAAGGGGAGTGGTGATTTGAGGTGCAACTGGTAAGCTGGGATGTACTGTTTCTTTGGAAGCAGCAAATCAGTGAATACTGCAAGTGGTCAGTAGATCGGGGGCTGGACACTCCACTTGGAGGGCTCGAGGGCTGGAGCATGCCTATCACTAACCTACAGAGTGACAGCGGCCTGAGAGGCCTAGAGGGGAGTGCCTATATTGCCAGTGGCTGATAAGGTTGGGGAGTTGATCCATGGTAGGCACAGACAAGGCTTCTTCACTCTAAGGGCAAGTGGTAGAGAGGTGCCTCACAACCCTAGGTGCCCCCTGGGAAATGTTATAGTGGTGATCTGGGCAATATTTACCATATTCAGCTTAAAGTTACTTTATTTAATACAAATAATAGTGATCTAATTATTGTTTCTTGAGTGCATACAGTGTTCTGTGGGTTGTTTAAATATGGTATTGTTCAAATATTGATAGTTGTCCAAAAATAGTCTATAAGATAAGACACTAAGTAGTGAAACTACACAGAGGAGGGAAGGAAAATACTAGATCAAGTTTCGTATAGAAAAATCCTTGAATTTAAACTTTCAGAACGAGAGTTTCCAATTCATGGGAGTAAAGCTTCTACTTATTTTTGTCTGTGCTGAAATGATTTACTGTTGGTGAAATGCAATAATATTGTTAAGCTTACATAGTTGTGGAAAGTGACTAAAAACTGTTTCATTATTAGGACACACAGTAGTATTCACGGACTGTTCAGGTATGAGTGCAACAGGCCATGTCATGCTAGGCACAATGGATGTTCACCACCACTGGATCAAAGTAAGAGAATTTCAGATAAAGGATAGTTAATATTTTTCTTAATTTAGTTAATGGTGCCTTGTATAAATGACTTTTTTTTAAAAGGTTTATAACCAAAATATTAATTGCTACAGGTAACTGATAAGTAATTTAATGCAATGCATATAGTTACTATGTTCAGCGTAACTTGATACTTGCATTCTAAACCGAATCCTTTGCAGTAGATGTTAATAATAACCATAATCTTTATGGTTGGGTTTTTATTGCAGTTTCTGCTAGTAAATCAACTCCTGGTCTAATACTAAGGGTGAACAAAATTGGCTTTTTCGCAACTTAGAATGCAACATGATCACGCACTGGTGAAATATTTCTTCATCCCTAAAATGTCTCAACTAACCAAAAAAAACCCCACTACTACTGGGAACTCAATGGGAGTTTTGCTATTTATTTCAGTGGAAGCTGTGTTGATCACAAACTCTTTTTGCAACATCTACTAAACTACTTTTTCTGTACCCAACACTCCATCTTGTTCACTAAGCCACCTTAGACTGAAAGAATCCCTTTGTGTCTCCTTTATTTACACATTTCTGTAGGTATTTCAGTGTTTGTTGTTGCAAACAGGCTGTGGCAAACTCTATGGCATCTTTTTAATAATAATAATAATATATAGTTTCCAAAGAACTATAGAGAGTAATCTTTTAACATAATGCACAGATACCACCAGGATATCACTTAATGAAATGTCTGAAAATATTTGTCACTTCATTCAAAGATGATTTTCATATATTTCATAGTTCCAGTGAATTTAAATTTAGCAATGTACAGTTCACTTAAATGAATTGTAGGCGTTGAAGAGGAGATTTACATAGGGCATCTGCAGAATTATTACTCTTTGCACCAATGAGTTTAGTTCAGTATTGTCAGTTCTTGGCCCACATAAGTAAGTAGCATTTGGTCACCTGAGAAGTCACATAAAAGGAGTTAAATGTGGATAAAATTCAAAAAGAAAGAAGGGGAGGTGGGTGGGTGAGTTATCTTGTTTGGAAATTTACAATGCTGTAGTGCAGGACCATGAGATTCCTATCTTCCATCCTGCAGTTAACATTGTAATCAACTAATCAACACAAAATTCTGTAGCAGATGATTAGTTCCTTGTCTATGTAAGCTCAGTGGAGTGAGAGGTTTCTGTTAACTCTCTCTTTCCTGTTTGGTAATATGAATGATTTATATCTTTGGTAAATTGAGAAATTGGAATTAAATGCAAAATTCATTCAAAAGCGCATTGAATAGAAAAAGTTTGAGAGAAAGTGCTTTGGATGTTCACTTTTTTTAATAAAAGCTGCACGTTAAGATTCCAAACTACCATCTTGTCTAATTAAAAAGAGAAATTATAGCTTCTAATGATTTAGTGTCTTAAATGTATTTTTAAAAATTGAGTAGGAAGCTGATGTTTTGAGACTTGAATAGGATAATGTGTGATTTAAAGTCTTTAAGTTCTTGAAAGGTAAATTCACTTTCTTTTTTGAGATATTGTAGTTAAAACTAATGAGAAATTGGCCAGCATAATTAAAACAACTTAAAATAACTTTGGAAGTCACATGCTTTGTCATCATATGCAAAAGGTAACAAATGCATTACCTGTATAATCATATTGGACCTCCTGCTGCAAATTATCATTGAAATTGCAGCTTTCACTTTGACTTCTTCATGATGAAAATAATGCAACATTGATGAAATTGCTAAATTAGCTGTCCATTCTGAGGTATAATCACTGTTGGCAAGATCTGCTTTCATTCTTATCTGATCAGCGTTTGCTGTTTGGAAGGTCTTATCTACAGCCAAACTTCACCAGTTGAACTGAATCTCTCATGATTAAACCAGTCCTAAACCAAAATAAAAGTACACATCGTCTTGCACTGATTTAACTACATTGGTTTAAAAACACACCTTTATTTAAACCAGAGCAAATCTGTATGCAGACAAGATTGTACTTCCACTTTAGTACCACTGAGTGTTTGTCACTGTCTTTTCTTTTGAAACTATTCTCTATTCATTCAAGCTGATAGCTCAGACTTTTTGCACAGAAGGAAGAGAGAGATCCTTCAAATCACACTGCAGCAGGGTATGCTGAGGCCTGTATGAAATTCTAGTATATGTTGGCATCAGTACATCTACAGCTAAAACTTTTTCTTTCTCATTTATGTGCATGTGCACACTTGAAGAATTTCAATGTGTATAATTAATGTTGTATATGTGCTATTTTATCTATAGTACAGATAATTCATAGGCCATGTCATACTAGTCATCTCATTTAGTATATCATGATAATGTGTATAATAATGGGACACAAGCGGCCATAAGTTGTTTTATATATAAAATACACAAAAGTTGTGAAACAGGTTTCACACACACACACACACACACACACACACACACCAGTTTAGCTCCCTAACAGTCATGCCCTCTAATTCTTCATCCACAAGCACACACCTTACTATTACCACTTCTGCTGTACACTATGAACCATGCACATGGGGCTACAAATGCAGTGAGAGAACACTTTTTAATCTGTCAGCAGTTGTGTACGATCCCTCATGTCAGTGGCTGTGCATGAATGCTACTTTGTAGGATAAAATCCAGCAAGAAAGCATAACTCCTCATAGAGATTCCATGTAATCCTCCTCTCCCCCCTGACTTCCCAAAACAACATTGTCTGTTCACCCAGCTCTGCCAATCTTGTTTGTGTTCCCAGTGCATAACTTTCAGTTGTAACATTTAGATTTTCTGTTTGCATCGTTAGATACTTCATTTTCTTTAGGGTTCCTTCCGTTGTGAATTAATAAGCGGCTAATTTCTTGGAGAGATTTTTATCACGTGTTATGTGTAATTATAGGCAATGTATTTTTGTGTGTGCAGATTTTTGAGAGATTGCCTAGCTATTATAAACTTCAAAAGAAGATGCTGCTTTTGGAGGACCGTATAAGTCATCTTCTAGGAGGCATACAAATAACATACATTGAAGAGCTGCAACCACTGTTAACTCTTGAAGAGTATTACACCACTCTTGATGCTTTCTATAATAGATTGCTTAACAGTAAACTATCTTTTCACCCTCGTAGTCTGCGTGGCTTGCAAATGATTCTAGAAAGGTATGTGTCTGCAGGATAGCTGCTTCTATAAAGCTTTTTGGTCATTTTACACTCTATGCTGATTATGTATTGCTCTTCTTAATATTACAAAGTCTCATTTGCTGCAGTATTGTTCCTTTGGCATTTTCACATTCCCTATTGGTTGTAATATATTTTACATTTTTAATGTAGCTTCAGGAAATGTTAACTGCCTGCATCAAGTTAATTAAGACTGCACAACCTGGAAACAATATGCACACATTACAACTTACTAGGCACTATCAATCCTGTTTGTAGTTATGGAATCAATATGAGCTGTTTCTAAATGATGCAACTGTGTCAAACTGTTTCTCTTGAGTTGGAGAGTGATTAGCTAGAAGGAAATCATGCACATCCAGTGAGGATAGCATTTTTGTCTTTCTAAACTCATCTGCACGGTATATAGCATTGAATAGATTGAACAATCTGTCAAGCATATGAACAGCTGTTACACAGAGACACAAGTATGTGCATCTAATAAGCCAGTGTAGTTCAGTGAGGGTAGAAGTGCCTGCCCAGGGCATATGTATATAGGCTTTGTTTATGTGACTAAGATAATGTGATAGTGCTAAGAGAATACTTGGCTTGAATTCATTTCAGAGCCAGCTTTACATCCACGTATTGTACTAGTAAGATCATTAGACAGGTTGAACACAGGATTCAAGAAATGAAGTTGCAGTTGTTTTGTAAGGGTTCTGCCAAGACTGCTAAATGTAAAATTTTAACATATCTTAAAATTGCTAATTTAATGGAGAAAGTCCTTTGAAATCTAAATCTTTGTTTAAATCTCTGAGAAATTATCTGAAAAAAGTGAGTTTTGTGAGTCAATAGTTTTGTCTGCAGCAGGAAACTAATATGCATCTATTGAGTTGCTTCTGCTGATCCACACTTGAAATTTTAAAAAATATCAAAACACCTAAAATAACATTCTGTACTCATGCCTCAAACCTTTACCAAAGAATGATTTAGAATTTATTGATCAGGTGGGATTATTTTATCCTTAATTCCTCATTCTGTTATCCATGACAAATATTTTAGTACACGAAGAAGTGATAAGATACGTCTATTTTGACTTTCATCATGTTTCATTACAGTGATCGGTATGCTCCAAATTTGCATGAACTTGGGCATTTTAACATCCCAACAATGTGTGATCTAGCAACCCTTCAGTGGTTTATTATGACCAAAGCACAGCAAGCAAGAGAGAATCTGAAAAGAAAGGAAGAGTAAGTATTCTCAGCAAGTTTGTACACTAGCTCTTGTGTTTCTCTTCTACTTCTTGTATTACTGAATTATTTGTTTTACGTCTATAACAATACGAGAACTTTGAGGATATATAAAAGGGAGTTAACTTTTCCCTACAAAAAAGGGTCTCACCTTTCCTGCCACTGTGTTCTATCTGTTTTACCCAACATGAATACTTGTCTCTCTAACCAGTAGTTGGTCCAATAAAAGATATTACCTCACCCAACTGTCATTTGTTATAAACTGCTGCTCAGCTGACTACTTCCTTATCAGTTTACATAGCAGCTATATTTCATTAGAAAATGAAAGATTTTTTTGTTTGTAAGAGATCATGAAACTTTCTCTTGATGATTTTACAATAATCTTGCTGAAGTATGTAGACACTCAATAACTGCCACAATTGAGCATTCTTTATTGAATATGAAAATATTTTATGGTACATACAAGTTTTTTAAAGGTTTTAAAAATCTCTTTATGGTCCTGAATCCTTAATATGAACTCCAATTAGAAATAAATCTCTTTTAAAACAGCTGAAAATTTTCCTCTTTTTTACTTATTTGGCAAGACCTGAATTCAGAGTTAGTGTTAGTGAAATCACAAGCACCTAATGCAGCATAAGGATGCAGCTCCCTTCACTGTTTGGGAGCTTGCAGTATAATCAGCACTTCAGAAGAAAATAAGAACCCAGAATTTTTGAATACCAATCTAACCAATTAAAATGGATCTTTAAGGACCCAAACCTGCAGCTGGAACAATGCATGAGCATCGGGGCAGCCTCCTGCAGAGTTCCAGGCAGGTGCAAGGGGCTGCCTGCACTAATCCAGTTGCAGGATCATGGCATAAATGTGTAATTTTTAAGGCCTGCCTTACACTTAAAAATAGATAGACGTAGCTACACTGGTCAAGAGACCATATGTACACCCCTTACCAACGTAGCTCTGCTGACCTACCCCAAAGTGTAGATGCATCTATGTCAATGGAAAAGTACTTTTGTCAATATAGCTATTATCATTTGGGGAGGTGGTCCTGCATCAATGGAAAAACACCCTCTCTTGGGGTAGACTGCACTTGCACCGTATAGGATCATGTTGGCATAGCTACAGTAACATAGCTATATTGGTATAGTTTCCATAATGTAGACACATCCTAAGTCTGCACACGTATCCTGTTTGTTATCTGGATCTTAAGCACAGTACATGTCAAACTTTCTTTAAAAATAAGAAAGCGTTTCTGTTCTCTGATTCTATGGGCTGTTTCTTTGCATTCTCTTTAGGATTATATTAAATGAACTATATATCATCCCATATAGGCTATGTAAAAGTGTTTTAGCAATACAGAATTTAGAATGGCTCAGTTTGTTTCATTTATCTGTACCAACGCTGACAGATTTGTATTACATGACAGCTTTTTAAAACTAGAATTCTCAAATGTGCATACATACTACCTTTTTCTTTAAAGAACCTGTATTTGTCAGTTGGTTTATTCCTTTTTGTCTAAGGTGAACTGAAAAATCATTTCATTTGCTAAGTCCTGAGTTAAGGATTCTGTATTTCTGTTGCAACAGTAAACTATATTTCTAACACCTAAAATAGAGCAGGTGGCTACACTACTCTTTGTTTGATATCATCCAGTGTTTTAGGTCACCTGCAGAATACTGAATATGGGATTTGGTAGGTGGGTACAGGAGGAAATTATTTTTGTACTTTCAAGCCTAGTTTCTTAATGTTGACTCAATATCTCAAAAAGGAACAAACATTTTTATCTCTAAGTGCAAGTCTCATGATCACATAACCACAAAATGCTCTTCAAATAAGTGAGTCAGTAATGTTTTTAAAATTTGGTCTCCTTTTGTAGGTATGCAACTTGGCATAATCACTTGCACACACAAAGTTTGTATATTTGTACACAAAAACATTAGTTTTTACATGTTCAAAACTGTCACATTATATCTACACTTGAAAAAATTGAAACTAAATGCACACTATAAAAAAAAAAATGTCCTTGAAAGACAAATATTTATAAAGGCCCAAGCACTAATTTCATCATTGTATTTGGTCCTCATATTTAGCACTAATTTCTAACTTTTTAAAATATACCAGGTTGACAGTGATGGAAAAAGAGCTAATCAGTGCTTCCACTGAAAAATTTTCTCTGAAACAGCTGTATAAGGAACCAAGTATTTCCCATGCACAGATGATAGATTGTTGTAAGCGACTGCTGGAAGAATCGCTCCCATACCTGCAAGGCATGCACCTCTGCATTTCACACTTTTACTCAGTGTTGCAAGATGGAGACCTCTGTATCCCTTGGAACTGGAAAAGCTGAGGCCTGTCTAATAATCAGAGGAACTGTCTATTTTCTCTGAGGCTATAAACATGAATTATTTTCTTTTAGAGTAAATTATTTAAACGTGTATTTTGATATCCATATTCTAACTAATCTAAGAACTTTCTTTTTAATTGCTGCTCAGAAAGTAGAACTTCAGTTCTAAACAGCTTGCTGAATAATGTACATTATTGCCTGTCCATGCGTAAACATTCTGTATGGTTTCCATACTCCTTTACAAGTCCCATCAAAGGGAAGGGGTAATGAAAGGGCATTTTTGATAGTTAAACAAAACTTTTGAATTGGATTTGAAGGTTACAAAAAGGGTTTTGGTTTGTTTTTCATATACATGAATATTCCAGGATGGATTTTGTTAAGTTGATAGAAATTGTACCTCTAAAGCCAAGCACTATGTACTATCTAAAGTAGGTAATTAACTGGATTCAAAAATTAAGAAATATCTTGTCAAAGTAGTTTTAGGGGCGGCAAAGGCAGTAGAAGTAATTCTAGAGTCCTTCATCTATCATTAATTATCTGGTTCCAATACTGTAGTTACATATTGCTGTATATCTTACTGTATAAGAAATATAGAAGGAAAAATCCATCAGTGTTTTTATTATGCAGATAGGAACAGTACTTTGAACATTTGTTTAAGAGGAGTTTATTTTAAATGTCAATCCAATATCTGCCCATTGGAGTAGGTGTTTACACTTTCAAAATGACATCCTCTTGGTAAATATATCTCCAATCTACATTATTGTTACCATAATTTGTTACTGGAGTATAAGATGCATCAATTGTTTTTAAGTACACTGTAGCTACGGGCATGATTGTGAAACTTTTACTCACACTGGTGAGCACTGATCTGCATGACTAGTCCCGATGAAGTCTAGGGATGGTCATGCAAATCAGTGCTCACCAGTGTGAGTAAGAGTTTCAATCAGCCCTGAGGATCAGACATACTGAATTTTATTTAAACTTGATAACTCGAATATCGTAAGATAAGGATGGAGGGCTTATTTTCCGAGTAAATGTTAGACACATTAAAAAGCTGCTGTTTCACTGTATTTCATACTAGAATACACACCGTGTTTGAGTTCTAAATCTTGCAAAATCATCTGAAAGGAACTAGCCAGTTAACATTTTTTGGACTTGGATTCATCTTTCAGAACTGGCAAAAATACTGTAAAATAAATATGTATAAATTATGTATATTATTTGTGTTATTAAGATTGCCCACCATCTCCCATTATAAGATTGTGTTTTCACTTGCTTATAACTTTGCTGTACTTTAACAATTTAGGCCGAAATTTTTGATGTTAGGTATCTGCCTTAGGCTGAATTTTTTGGAAAACTTCAACTGAAATAGTTCATCATTTCAGAGAATGAGTCAAAGGGAAAAATATTGTTTAGCCCATGTTAAATATTTCTTGCTCTTCTTTGAACTGCTTCAGCACCCCTGTGCTTTGGAGCAAGAGGGTTGATTTTTGTGTCAGGGATGTGACTTTTGTCGTCCCCATGAAAATCCACTTGAATTTGGCCAAGTTTTAAGCCTTTGAAGAATTGCATTTCGCACATGCACAGTAGAGCCTTGCTAGAGCTTAACTGCTAAAACTTCTAAAGATTCCATCCTCATTGAGTATGCTCCAGCCCCTTATGGCTCCTGTGTGTGACAGGACTGTGCATGCACCAGCCCCACAGAACGTCTGAATATGCTACAGCCCAGGATTACGAGGGCTCAGAATTTCCTTGTAATAGCTGTTTCAGAGTGGTACCGGAACTGATCAGGGAGCCTGTGTCTCCTTTGCTCTCGATGTCACCCCTGTCTGAAGTCCACACCAAGGCAGTATGGATGATGTAGCCAATTGATTTGAAGGTAGAGGGAACAAAAGCTGGACCCGAGCGGAGAGAAAGGAGTAGGCTGGGACAAGGAGTCTTCTGAGAGTGGGACGGGAAGTAACTGACTAGAAGCTGATTGGTAGGGAGAGACCGGGCAAGAAGGAGACTGGGACTGGGAGTCAGTTTGCTGGGAGGGGAAGATATTGATATCAGATGAGGAACGAAGATGAGGCAGGGACTAGGAACCAATGTGGCAGGGCACCTCGGAGGAGAGACGTCTGTCAAGGAGTTGGCTGGGTGAAGAGAAGAGACAAGGAGTCTAGGTGGGAGAAGGGGACCGAGATTGGATGAGGAGCCCAGGAAGGGAGATTGAAACTAGGAGCTAGTGTGGAGAGGGGAGAGACCAATCAAAAGCTAGGTGTGGAGAGACTGGGCCTGGCTGGGCAAGGAGTTTGGGGTAGGAAGTGGGGAACGGGGACTAGCTGAGCGAGGAGACTGGGACTGGGTGTGGGGAGGGAAAGAGATGGGGAGCCAGGGAACAGAGGGGATGGGGACAGCATGCCCAGGGGGAAAGACAGACTGGCTGGGCAAGGAGACTGAGATGTGAAGACTAAGGAATGGATGCTGGGAGTGGCCAGGCGAGGAGAATAGGGATTGACACAATGAGCCAGGGCTGGGGAAGAGACAGGACCAGGACAAGTTGGAGGGAAAGGGATGGGACAGAAGGGGTCAGGCTTGGGGGGAAGTGGGAAGGAGTGTCTGTGCCCACTGGAGCTTGGGTTCTATTCTAGACTCCCCATTCAGAGTCTAGAATAGAACTCAAGATTGCAGAGTCTCACCATTCCTTTGCTGTCAGCAAACATCTGTGAAACCCTTGTCATAGTGTGTGTCCCATCCCCCACTAGCACTGGTCCACGTAGAGGATGACAGCCTACTCCTGCTATCCGTTACTCTATTGGCTCAAATGGGAGAGGTCTGTGTGGTGAATCTAAAGGTTTCAACCCCGTTGGTGACCCATGTGGGTGTCAATATGATGTCACATTATGGAATTTGTTTTTTCAGTTTCTTTAAAAAAAGCAACTAGGAAATAGCACACAAACTATGTTGAACATTCAATATTAAGGTTGCAGAATTAAGCACTCAAAAGTTAGGAAATAGCAGAATGTAGATTGCCTAACTCAACCCTCAGCATTCTTCACATCTATTTTTTTTTGTGTGGCATGAGAAAAAAGGGTAGTGATCAATAACTACTACTAATCATAATAAAAATCCAAAGCCAGTTATATTTTCGAGTATTCGTTGATTTCATATTTAATAATCAGATTGGCTGAGACTTGAGACTTTTTCTTCTCTTTTGTTTTGACTACTTAAAATCAAATATTTGAAGGAAAGGGTAACAATTCTTGAATCTCAACCAGTGATCAAAGATTTGAGAGGTGGGCCATCCATTATCAAACCAGGACATTCCAGATCATGTCATTCAAACTTCAAGAAGTAGTTTAGTCTTTACCATCGCTTCAGAAAGGACATTGAAAAGACAATCTCTTCTGTTTCAGCATCATGTTAATCTTTACAAACTGATAAACATTTAATTTTTAAAGAATAATTCCAACAATAATTCCAATCCTATGTATAACTGTGGCTGTATGATATTCATGCTTTGGCAAACAGGAGCATTAATTTTGGTAATTATATGTCTAGCATTTTAAAGCACTTGAAACTATTATTCTGGTGGTGTGATATGTGAAGACATTCCCCGGTATCCAAAACATTCTCCCCACATATTTACTCACTATGCCTCTTTCACTTCTAGCGCTGTATATGAAAACTGTGAAACCATTGCCCATCTTGTCATTGTACTTTTGACTTTTACATACTATGATCTACTCTCAGGAACTAACAGTTTTTTGTACCCACTTACGATTTAGAAGGTGTTGAAGTGTCAATTTTGAATCTCAGGGCTTGTCCACATGGCTGCTTAGTGTACAGTAAGCTGGGGTGGGAATGTACAGCACGCTAGCCTGTGTGCTAATTGGCCTTGTGGACCTTGCTACTGCACACTAAAAGTTCCATACTTTTAATGCACAGTAACAGAGTCCACACAGCCAGTTAATGCGCAGCAGGCTAGTGCACTCTGCATTCGGCACCCTGGCTTGCTGCTAAGTAGGTGTGTAGACAAGCCTATATTAGATGTGTGTGGATGGGATAGAAAAGGAAAATTCTCCCATAGAGGACAAGTGGCTGATTAACAATGTAAGTGGATTAATAATTCATCATAACTTTTTCTTGTAGAAAGTAAATTAGGTATATAGCCTAAATTGTGTTCACTGTAGCTGAAATAACCTGTTCCTCTTATGAGGAAAAAGTGAAACTAAAGCCTGTTAATTAAAACTTTTGTCATTCTCCTAATATGCAAGCGTTTGTCCACAAAGAGGATATTTGTATGATTTCATGGGTATATGTATATTTATACATTGTGTGAATTGTAAATGTATATAGTAGTGAATTTGTCTCGATTTTTTTCTTGATAAATGTGCACTTTTGGTGATGCTACAGGCCGTCATATCTGACCCAATTGGCAAGGAAAAAGTTTAATTATGGCAAAAAGTTTAATATAAATTTAGAAAGATACAAATTCAGTCTTTCCCTGCATAAGCTGAATAGTTGAATATTACAGAGAGGACTTGGTTTAGTTCTTCCAAGATTGAGATTAAAAACTGGGACTCAGTCTTCTCATAGATTCCAAGAGGAGAAGGGGCCATTGTGATCATCTAATCTGATCTCCTGTAGGCCATACAACTTCTCCAAAATAATTTCTAGAGCAGATCTTTTAGAAAAACATCCATTCTTGATTTTAAAATTGCTTTTGACGGAAAATCCACCACACCCGAGGAAATTGTTCCAATGGTTAATTACCCTCACTGTTAAAAATTTGTCTTATTTGCAGCAGGGGTGATGGACTGTTTCTAAAAGGTGGGGAAGGGGGGGAAGGGGAGCAGAGCCGGGCCGGGGAGCCCGGGGCCCTCCACCTACCTGGGATGGGGGAGTGCGAGAGCAGTCTCCAGCTCTTGTCCCAGCTCTCCACCCAGGGCAGGTGGAGGGTTTGCAGCTCCCTACAGCTGCCCGCATGGCTCTTACCCTGACCCAGCTTGGCGTGGGGGCGGGGCCTCAGGGGCCAAAGAGCTGCAGCTGGGCTATGGTAAGAGCTGCCTTGGCTCTGGGTGGGGGACCCGGAGGGCAGGGACATGGGCCGGGGGCTGCTCTCAGGCCCCCCTCAGCCTGGGCTGGTCGAGGATCTGCGGCTCCCCACAGCTGCCCAGGCTCCCCGAGCTGAGCTCCAGCTTTCAACCTGGCCAGGGGATGGGCCGCAGGGGGAAGAGGAGGGGCAGGGGGCGGGGCCCATGGCCAGAAGTGGACAGGACAGGCCCATCCGCCCACCCTGTTCCAGCACCCCTGATTTCCTGTCTGTTTTTGTCTATCTCCAGCTCCCAGCCATTGGATCATGTTATACCTCTTGTCTACTAGATTGAAGAGCCCATTATCAAATATCTGTTCCCCATTTGGGTGCTTACAGACTGTAATCAAGTCATCCTTTAACCTTCTCTTGGGTAAGCTAAATAGCTTGAGCTCCTCTAGTCTATCATTCTATAAGGCATGCTCTCTAATCCTTTAATCATTCTCAGGGCTCTTCTCCGAACTCCCTCCAATTTATTAATGGACACCAGAACTGGTCACAGTATTCCAGCAGTGGTTGCACAAATGCCAAATACAAAGGTAAAATAACTTCTCTACTCCTACTCAGGAGTCCCATGTTTATGCATCCCAAGTATTGCATTAGCTCTTTTTGCCATAGCATCACACTGAGAGCTCATATTCGGCTGAATCCACCACAACCCCAAAATCTTTTTCAGAGTCCTTGTTTCCCAGGACGGAGTCGCCATCCTAGAAGTATGGCCTATATTCTTTGTTCCTAAATGTATACATTTGCATTTAGCCATATTATATAGTTACTGTTTGCTTGTGCTTACCTTACCACGCGCTCTCTCAGTGACCTGTCCTCTTCATTATTTATCATGCCCCCAATTTTTGTGTCCTCTGCAAGTTTTGTCAGTGATTTTTTTTTTTGTTCTTAATAAAAATGTTAAATTGCATAGGGACAAGAATTGATCCCTGTGGTACCCAAAAGTTTTCTGCAGAAAGCTTTTTTTGTTTGTTTGTTTTCGTTAAAAAGACACAGTTGTAAAAAGCATATCCTTTCCTGAACTAACAGAGAAATGCTCTTGTCATGCAGTTGTGTTTACAGATGTGTATTCCTGATGTGATTGTTTAAATAACAAATAAATAATTTTGTGCTCAATTTTAGCTAAGACTCTACTGGGGTACTAAATTGCTGAATAGTCAGGTTGATTGCATTATCAGCTGCTTACTTCAATAAAATAATCTTTTAAAATTCTTTTATTTAGTGGAACTTAAATGTTTTGACTGATTTCTGGCTTTTTTTCATATTTCTCTTTCACATTCCACAAATTTTCTTGTAGTGTTCTTTCATTTCCCTGAGTTTATTTGACTATTCTCTGGACTCTTTCTACCTTTTTATGAAATTAGAACTATATAATCTACATTATATACAGATCTCAAGCATGAGCATTTTTAAGGTAGAGTTAGATTAAAGAGTTCATCCATGTATTTTGATTTGTAAGATTAGAAATAAGTGCCTATCTGATGCTCTGAACTCGTACGTAGTTTTAAAAATACAAAATATCAGACATTGAAAAATCCATATAATAGCTCTTTGAGTTAATCAAGAGTTTGAGTTCTTATTGATGATGTCTTACAAAGGATGACAAATCATTAATGATAGGTTTATTTTTTTCTATATTTATAAAACTTCAACAGAGGTTTAGGATAGAGGAAGGTCTAGATTTCATGAAGCTAAACTCCAGTGACCTATTAAAACAAGAATCTTGAACTAACTTTTTAAGTTAGCTGAAACAGCTGTGTTGTAAGGGAGATTCATTCCTAAAGCATGATTGTATCACCCTAGCCCTTCCCAGAATGTTTTGCCATGAGAGTGCAGTTTTAAATTACATACATCTCCTGGCCCTGCTTCCTCCCGGGATAGCTCAGCCCATGCTGTGAACTGTACTGACCACCTGGCTGATTCCAGGCCTCTAACACACTATAGGTTACAAGTGGCTTGGGTTGCCACAACCCTGTTTCTATTAGCCTACTACCAAGGATATGGAGCTTGGGTTTAAACAGGTGCAGTGAATGGGACTGATCAACAGTAGTGGTAGGTATTTCCTTTTATAGCTTGAGCAAAAGGAAGTAGTTTCAGACACAACCTCAAATTTAAGTTGACACAAGGTTTGATAAGAAAACAACCCTTCTTTTTTAGTTTTAGAACCACCTAGTCTTCACCCTCTCCTGTATTTACAGCTGATTTGGAGAACAAAAGGCAGTTAGATTTAACTTGGCCACCCGTGATTTCTTTTTAATTCTTTCTGGGTAATGTTTTATTTTTAAACATCTACTCTGTCAGAGTTTGTTTTTCTTGCAGCATGCAACAGCAGGCTAGTGAATGTTAGAGGCATGTGTATCTTCAGCACATAATGAAACATTCTGGGATTCATTACTAGAAACAATGATAGGTACCTAGTATCCTTCATCAAGTCTGCTTTTGTAGACCCACGTTCTGTGATCTGGCACCCATTTACTAGCTAAACATAAATATAGTTCATTATCAAGACACTTCCTTGATACCACATCTAACTACTACACATTATTCTCCCCCATCAAATTGCCATGCTCCAGGGATAAATGTTTCTAATTCAGTGTGTTTTTTATGAATAGTTGTATAGTGAATATTTGAGCCCAGTTAACGATATGTACCAAGAACATGGGTTACTTTTTTTCCCCTCTGAATATATTGACACTCAAGAGCTCAACTGTAAGAGTCACGTTTCTAGCCACAGTCACAGATTCTTTGAGCAGTAGTTGGCCATTAAGGGGTGTACATGTGCATACCCCTAAATCCCAGCATTCTGTAGACTGAAGGTATAAACACCACATCTCTTCTAAAACAATTACTTTTAAGTCTGTTCCTGTATTGGACTGTAAATCCTTCAGAACACACTGTGTATTCAGGGCCCATTTCGGTCAATATATGTCTTTGAAAGCAACATATGTCCCGTGAACCAGACTTACTGCTAATAAGTTAATGTTCTTTCTTCATGATGACTGATTCTAGAGCCCCACTGTAAGAGATGAGATACCAGTGACCTCCCTGAAGAGGTGGGCTGATGAACTTTGCTAATTACAGTAACTGAAGAATTCCCTTCCTGAAACCAGAAGCATCAAGAATATGATGATTTATGAAGTTATGCACCAACTCCACAGTGCAGCCCTACAGATTTCAAATAAGGGTGCATTGTGGATACACGCCATTAAAATTGCCAGGCACAGGGACATCAGTTCCCATATGACTGAATGCATACTACTACTCGTTCTTTGAGCTCTAGACCTTTCTCCAAAGTCTTAGACCAAGCACAGCTAAGCAGTTTAAAAAGCTCTTTGGGGCAGGGATTGCATATCATAATTGAATCCTGGTCCATGGCTACTGCTCCTAGGCACTATGGTAATTCAAATAAATAATTAGCCTAAGTAGTAGGTAGTGGCTCTTTGCCATTCAGGGTGTGTAACCTTGCCTCCCCAGTATGACTATGGGACAGAAGCTCTGAGAATTTGGTCTAGTGGGTCAGTCCTGTTGACTCTTCCTCAGTAGTTGGAGGGGGGCGGGGAGGAAATGGAAGCTAACTCTAAATCTGTTAATTTGAACATAGTTGTATCTTTGTATGTGACAGAAAAAGGGATGAGAATAGCTTCATGGACCCTCCTGCTGGTGGACAGAGAAACTGAGGCTCAGTTGGAGGTACATGGTATTTACACCATTGGTGTATGGAATGATGGGCTCAAGAGACATATACCCTGACATGCAAACTATAGTTCAAAAAGTTTCTGTGACAGTATGAATAGGCACGTGACTCCTATATGTGTGGCTCTGTGGTGGCAATGTCATGAAGAACTGTAATTTAACTATTCTCTGTATTGCTAATTAATTTAACTAGTCAAACTTGGAGCAACCCAAACAAAATGGGTTTAAATTGCATTCAGTGTAGTCACTCCGTGTCCTTAAAAGACCTGAAGATGAGTCAATAGTGTCTGTAATACAACCTAAAAGATGCCTTGTGATCCCACTTTGCCCTCAAGCAGACGTTTAGCATGGTTGTAGTTCTTTTTCCCTGACCATCACTTTGTGTGCTGGTTAGTACACTATTCCCCTTGACACGTTCGCTAACAAAAACTTCAGCTCCTCTCAGTTACCATGGCTATGGCACCTATTAATCTTCAGGAATAAAAGTTGAAGTTATTGATATGCTCTCCAGTTCTCTCTTACGGTGCTTCTCTGTCAACCCTTTTCCTTCTCTGGGATTTTTCTACAACAAA